ATTATTATTGCTTTTTACCACTCTGCTACCAAATATAATATCTCAGTTCAAACACTCTCATTCCTTAATTTAGTTACTGCGTCTACTAAATTTTTCCCTGTAATCTCATCAAAAACTGTAAACGTTTTGTTTTCCAAATTAACGACTAGATGTCCGAGGGGCAGCCATCTTTACTGAATTCCTTTATCTCTGAGGATTTTCAATGTTTCCCTGAGATGTCTTCTTGCAATAATTACCTCCACTGGAATGTCAGGAAACAAATATACAGGTCGTGTCCTCCAAACTCAGTCCTTGCTTGTCCCTCACAATTGCAAAAAGTTTATTTTTTGTCTGCAGCTGTTTAAACTCAACAATTATGTCTGGGGAAGCATTTTCAGGGGCCTTTTTGGAGATGTTTAGCTGGAAGGCGGAGCTGATGATCCCTTCAGGAGACGCTGGTTCTCCTGCTTCGAGAAGGATTTGAGTCAGCCATTTGTTTAAAGCTGCAGAGAGATTTTCTTTTTCACCAAAGTTTACAGCTACTCCACGTAGTTTAGCTTTCTTCTCTCTTAGTTTTGTTTCCTGGAGTATAATTCTATTCTTAGCCCATATCTCAAATTCCTTTCCTGGAGTATAATTCTATTCTTAGCCCATATCTCAAATTCCTTAAATTCTTTGATGTCTTCTGCGTTCTTTTTCCCCTACAGTTTTCATGGCAAGAGATGAACAGAGGTGGTTTCCCATTGCCTGTCTCCCATCCTATTAACTGACATCGACTCTGCTTAGCTTCTAAGATCTGACAAAATCCAAGTCTCCCCAAGTCCTAACCCAGGCCAACTTTGCTTAGCTTTCGAGATCTGACAAAATTGAACTAGCCTGAGCCATCCAGATCTGGACTCATGCTCACCCGGAAAATTCAAGCAAGTGAGAAAAAAATTTGTCCAGAAAACTTGCAACAAGTTTCTCATAACATCTTTACACATGCTGTCACTCGAACTCCAAAAACCAGCCTCAGGCAACTAGCTGTTGACAATGAATGAGTACGACCAGGACTGCACTGCTGCCTAGAACAAAAATATTTGAGAACTGGATTATGGCTCCAGCCCATGAAAGCTTAGATATAAATTGATCTGGGAACTGGGGTCAGGGCATGTGAATAATGGGAGTCTGAAGGGATACTGATGTCAGAGCTGTGCCTTTCACCCCACACCACTAGCTATCCCACAACTCAGGGTGGCCCGTCTGGCATCGACCAGAGCATGGGCTTTTTCCATCGTGGCTCCAGCTCTGTGGAATGGGCTCTCTGAAGAGGTGAGAGGGGCCCCCTCCTCAAAGATCTTCAGGCAGCGCTGCAGACCGGCCAGCTTGCCAGGGCATTCGAAAGGGTCTGAATGGTAGGCATCTTTCTTGGGGGGGGGAGACTTGAGACTTGCTGTTTTATCATTACTTTCAGCTGGGGATGTTTGGGCTGTTATTGTAAGCCACCTTGAAGAAAAGCAGGATATAAATGTTTTAATAAATAAATAAAAACTAAGCATGGGCTGCTGTCCTCCAAAATCAGACGCTAGCTAGGAGAAGGCCCCTGGGCCCCTGTGGCTCTCTCCCCCTTTGGGGTATCTGATCTTAGTCTTCTACAAGACACTGACAGTTCCCCTAACAAAAATACCCAGAGCTTTACTCCTCAGGAAAGGGGGAATTCTAAGTGAGTATGGTTGGATGTCCCTAGGCCGTCTCACAAAATCACACGTTTGCAGAAGCAGGAAAAGGAAAAGTGCATTTAAAAATTGGATGTGGAGAAAAGACCCTGCAGGGTTGAGATCTGTGGCTCTCCATGACCCAAGAATTCACCATGATGCTGCCCACCTTGTGGGAGAGCCTCTCTGAGGAGGTAAGGAAGATGCGCACCTTTCTGCCATTCTGTGGGATGTGCAAAACATTAATGCGTAGGAGGGCATTTGCGTAAAGGAAAGAGGATCAGTTGTATAATGGAGTGGTTCAGGCGGGTGCTTTTATAAAGGGAATAAGATTGTAGTCTACTGCACTGTTTATTGCTCTAACTACACTGTCTACTTTTTAAATCCATTACATAAGAGAGGCCAATGTTGGATCAGGCCAATGGCCCACCCAGTCCAACACTCTGTCACACAGTGGTCTAAAATACCAGGGGCCATCAGGAGGCCCACCAGTGGGGCCAGGACACTAGAAGCAGCGTTGTTTATGGGATGTTATATCACACTAATTTTTTGTTGGGATTGTTTGTAATCCTAGTCACATCACATGACCACATGAAGCTGCCTCATACAGAATCAGACCATTGGGTCATCAAAGTCAAGTCTCGTCTATTCGGAGGGCGGTGCCTCTCCAGGGCTTCAGGCAGAGGTCTTTCATGTCACCTACTGCCTGGTCTTTTTAATTGGAGGTGCCAAGCAGATGCTCTACCACTGAGCCACGGCCCCTCCCCGAGTCCTACTGTATCGATGCCTTATGCTGTCTGGCTGTATTGAGTTTTTATATTTTGTAATCTGCCTCCAGTCTTCGCAAGAAAGATAGGCTATAAAGTAAGTAAGTAAATAAAGTTATCGAGTATAAAGCAACGGCCCCGTTCACACGGAGAAGTTGCAGCACTAAAGATACGCATGTCAGGCAGCTTTTCAGTGCGTGATCACATCGCAACATCTTGGAAGCGTAGTGCACCCATGGTGTCCCGTCAAAGATACGCAGTAAAAAACTACCTCGGAAAGTGCACTAGTATCCGGAAAATGCAGGACAGGGGCGGGCGTCTGATTGCAGGAGTGCTAGTATCCCGTGGCATTCGGCGCCCGTCCACATCCCGTCGCAAACCGGATGTTTTTCATAAGTGCGCGCGCCGCTTCTTTGCCACAGTCCAGCATCGCCGTGTGATTGCCAGCTAACAGCCTAAGCGCGAAGCCTCGGGGGACCGTGTGATCGGGCTACCGCGCTTTATTTTGCTCTGGGGTGAACAGCCACGCCTCCCCCCCCTGCGTTATCTGGCCCGTGTGACCGGGGCCAACGTGGAGAAATATGGCTTCAGTCTGAGGGTGGTGTATCTGCAGTTCAAACACCCTTCCAATGTCACTCTTCATAGCTGCTTGCTTTTGACTGTGTGAACCAAGCCAGCCAAACGACGGTGCGTTAACGGGCTTGCGTCCGTGCCCGTAGGCCTACATGGGATCAGATAGGAGTTCTGAATGGCTCCCCAGATTGTCAGCAGAGCAATTCTTACAGAACAGGGCCATCACGAATGCAACATCAAAGTACAAAAGGAGAATGCAGTCAACAGGCATTGTCTGTATGACAGAAGTCTCTCGTTTCAGAGTTTGGGCCCTCACACAGCTGGAACATGCGGGGATCTGAACATTCCGGGGACATTTGGAAACAGATGGTCAGCCGCATGCATGCAGCAGTGTAGAGCAGTGATCCTCAATGTGGTGCCCCTGGGCATCTTGGGGGCCCGCCAACTTCTTTCCCCTGGTCCTCATGTCCTCCTTCCTCAAAACGCCTGTTCCGCAGAGCAGAGAACCCAGTCCTGGCTTTCCCCCAGCTGACTGGAGTAGGAGGAGACTCAGAAGAGAGCAGGAGCCATCTGCTTCGAGTCCGTGGGGAAGACACTGTCTGAAACATCTATCTCCATTCATAGAAGGATGCTGGGCTTGGAAGCTGCCAACGTTGTGTGACCGGGCCAGCCCCCCCCCCCCAGCCCATCCTGTAGGCGGTTGCGCCCTCCCGTCAGTCATTTCAGGGTGATGCCCACTGCCTGCTTTCCAGATTCCAATCACGGCCACAGGCTCAACAGACCCTTGGTGTAGATGAACCAGAAGGCCACAGACTGACACGGATGGCTCCAAGTTAGAAAAGTAGCACCGAGGCAGAAACTCATTTCAACACTGGCCCAAAAGGACGTCTGTCTGGTCTCAACCAGGGCCTTTTTGGCCCTGGCCCTAACCTGGTGGAATGAGCTCCCGGTACAGATTAGGGCCCCGCGGGACCCTAGTTCCATGGGGCCTGTAAGACAGAGCTCTTCCGCCAGGCTTTTGGGTTAGACAGCGAACATTAAATATCATCTGGCCCCTCCTGTTACCCCTTTGTTACCATCTGTACCATGGTCTTTAATCTTTGAGGACACAGATTAATAACCGCCTTGGTTTACCCAAGGTAGGATACTTATAATCTGCAATCCCTTATGGGGGTCTAGCCCTTTCTGCCTTTACTTTTCTAACACCAGGGCACCATTGTAATAGTTGTGACGCAGTCTGATCGCCAACCTTTAAGGGTTAAAGTTTCATTTTAATCCTGATGTTATTGTTTTATATTAAATGTTGCGACCCGCCCTGAGCCCGCTTGTGGGAAGGGCGAGATAGAAACTGAATCAAATAAACAAACAAACAAACAAGTAAACCGAATGGAAGAACTGGCCCCACCACCGTAGTGTCCAGTACAGAAGATTTACTTTGAAATACAACTAGATTCAAGTTCAGTAGCACCTTAGAGACAAACAAGATTCCTGGGGTATACACTTTCGAGAAACAAAGCTGCCTTGGTCAGGTGTCTGATATACCCCGGCTACAACCCGAAAATTCGGTTGGTCTGTAAGGCAGTACTGGGCTCGAATCTAGCAGTTCTGCTGCAGACTAGCATGGCTACCCTGTGAAACACGTACGCCAGAGAACAGATAAATCTTTTCAAGGACCTTCAGATGGCACAAGGTCAGTTCTGCAAGCAAAGCTCTTACGGTGCCAGTAGTGGTGATGGCGGGAAGCGTTGTCAAGTCACAGCTGACTTATGGCAACCCCACAGGGACATTCAGAGGTGGTTTGCCGCTGCCTGCCTCTGCATAGTGACCCTGGACTTCATTGGCGGTTGCCCATCAGGCTATCCAGGGCTATCCAGGTCAGGGTGAAGCTTTTTACGATGTGCCCCGAATATTAACAACCACTCGGTCGCCTGCAGACTTCAGCCTTCTCCCCAAAAGGACAAGGCTTTCAAACGGGTCGCGGATTTACCTGGCCGACGAGCTGGCTTTCTCTACTGTGGACATCAGCTTTGCAAATGCATCCGTCACTTTACTGGCCGCGCTGGTCGTTTCCAGCTTGGAGGTTGTCAACTCGTACAGCTCCGGATCCACACCTTACAGCACAAAATTAAAGTCAATGACAGACCGATACAACCGGATCAACCCCCTTTTAGAATGCTATTTCCCAGCTTCTGTAAACATCTGAACTACCGAGGCCTCCAACCGTGAACGTGACACAATTGGCACACAGGATGCCAACACAGATCACAAGATTGAATTTAGTAAATTTGGACCATTGCTTTCTTCTGACGCCAGAAAGCACACCGGTGTCGAAATGTTAAAGCATCATCCTTAGACAGGATTGCATCTATTTCCATTCCATTGGCTCTAAGGCACGTGTAAGCAGTGGCACTGGAATCCATTAGGCTGGTTTATTTTAAATAGATACAAAGTAAATACAGTGTTTTGTTCTGTTTCTCGCATTCTATTAGGATGTTGTCATTAAAGGAATTTCAGGACCCGACAAAATGCTCCTTAAGTAAAAGAAGGAGATCTGGAGACTGGTAAAATAGTACAATCTGGATCAAATGGAGAAGAGGACAACCTGTGGCCCCGTTGGGGGAAAAGGCCTGGTATAAATGAACTAATAATAAATAGGACTTTTTTTAAAAAAAAAAAAAAACCCAGCCATTAGAATGATTTCACTGGCATGACAAGAAGTCTAGAACTCCACCGATTTCACAAATGTGTACCATATTATAGCTAAAAGTACACATACCTTGTCCTTCGATAGGACCAAACAGTATATCCTTTGGTTAAGCCAAAGAAACGGGACAGTATTTGCATCCCATTGTTGTTATGAGCTCAGAGGAAGTTCCAAGGTCAAATATAAAATATGCACTCAGGGTACCATGCATTTGAACTACTGTCAGATGTTTACAGAACCTTTAAAAATGGCCGACATGCTCTTTTCTGTCAAATCGCATATAGAATAAACCTTAAGAAAAGCTTCTGAAATCCCATTAAGGTATACCAATTTGTTAAGCTGCAAGTAGTTTAATACATAATCGCAATAGGCCCTTTGATATTTCAAAAGGGCGACAGTATGATGCTGCAATTAATATCCTTTATGACATTTGTTAATCACAGCCTTAATCGTCAGCTGAAAGTGGATTACCTTAGCTCAACGAGTTACCACTAAGACATGTTCTTACGTTGCTATTAAGCTGAATTTTACACCAAGACGGTTGCAAATGTTTCAGTGTAAAAAGAGAATGTGGGCGATGAATTATTAAAAGTTGCATGTTGGTCGTTAAAAAAATTGTTTTGTCTCAAAACGTCTGGATGTTCCCATAAGGAACAGTTATACAGAGTTAACAGAGAAATGGGCAGATTTTAGAACCTTAATGAGATCGAGTGAATTCACAGCCACCAACTTTAGCCCAAAGCTTCTAGAGTATGCACGCATACACACTGTTACACATTACCCACACACAGAGCTGCAGACTAGAAGCAAATGACTTTCCAAGAAACAACGGGGGGGGGGGGGGGACAACAGGACAGGCAATGGTCACATCTGTGGATTTGTTGACAAATTTGCCCATGAAGCCCTAGAACAGGTGGGTGGAGGTTCTTCCTAAATCATCCTTTCAGATTCGCACTTCAGAACTTGGGTAAAATTAGTTTACTGAATGCCAAAAAAAGGGCCCATTGACCATGAACGACGCTGAAGAAATCAAAATGGACTGGATGCAGGGCTATTTTGGGGCGGCAACACACAGGAATGGAGTTCCTGCTGGCTTCAGAGTTGGCCACGCCCACTACAGCCCAAACCTCTGCAGGCGTGGCTACAGAGGGAAGGCGACTTCGAGGCAGGCAGGCCAGGGGGGCCCTGGAAGGATTGGGGAAGCATTTAAATGCCTCCCCGTGCCTTCCCCGGCCTGTCCAAGGACTGGCTTGCCCAGTGGGGCCGCAGCCGCGGGGCACCTGGGCAAGCCATGGGGTGTGGCCTAATATGCTAATGAGTTTCAGCTGCTGGGTGTGGCCTATTATGCTAATGAGTTCCTGCTGGGCTTTTTCTACAAAAAAAGCCCTGACTGGATGGATCCAGCATCGTAGCAATAACTATGATGTGCTACACAACTCAACAAGCTTCTCTGGTTCTGATTTCCAGCAATATTCTCCTATCTGATCAACTTGAAAATTCGTCCCGACGCCCGAATTCAGAGATGGGACTGCCCTAATTAAATTTTTATTTACTTATTTATATTATTTACAGTCCGCCTTTCTCACAGACTCAAGGTGGATTACACACAGTGAGTCAGTACCATCAACAAAACGGGACATTCAATAACTAACACATGAGGATATTAGAAGGCTGGAACCACAAGACTTGAATTGTCAAAGACGCCCCCCCCAAAAAGACCTTCTCACACACACATTTTGTTGATTGTACTGACTCCCTATGCGTAATCTCTGCCTTGAGTCCATGTACACAGTGCTCAAAAACAGAGTCACTGGTAGAGCACAAAACTCCGTTTCTGCCCCCAACCTCGGCACGGTACATCTGACCGAACTGCAGGCACCGTACCAAACTATTACTTGGAAGGGAAGGCCTGGGCATGCGCCGCTGATTATCTATCTCACCTTCTCTGCTGGGTCGAGGAAAGCAGGCTAGATGGGGGCTTGGAGGCATGCACAGATTTCCTATTGCCTGTAACGATCCAGAACAGAGAGGGTGGGAAAACTTGACTCTTGTGCCCCATGCAGGTAACTGTGCATTGTGTGGCAGGACTATGCCCCAATCGTTTAGAAGAACTCTTCCGCTGCATTTACAAGGTTGCACAAGCCTTCCTACTCACACAGTAGAGCTGCTACATTTCATGCCAGACTCCCTGACCGCTCTGCCGTTTTACTTTGCCGGTCATCTGCAGGAGTCAAAAGCATTAAGTACCTTTGCTTTTTGAGAGAACGAATCTCCGTTCGGGCGACATACCAAAAAGCAAAGTCTGCAGTGCCTTACCAGACTGCTCTCTCAAAAACTAGCACTTATCATTCTGTAGTGATGTCTCCAAAAGAGATCAATGGCCACACAGAGCTACAATCCTTTTCTCATCTTACATGCCAACGGCATAGTTGTCCTCCAGAACAGCACTTGTTCCACTCATTGAGGAACTCTGTTTCTCCTACAGGAAGTTCATGGCTAACTGTTGCCATTTACTGTCCACTTCAAGTACAGAGATGGACAAAACCTGTTCCAAGGAAATTCACTGAAGCCAGAAGATCTAGCGTTTTCAGTGGGGCAAATGTTTTCACCAAGACTCAACCAGGGTTCCCTCTAAGCTGTGGAGTCTTGTGAGCAAAAATTCTACTTTGTGAGCTGCTGGCATTAAAGTTGTGAGCAAGCAGTTTGGCTACTGCATAAATGAGTTGGCTCTGGAGCCATCCTTCCTGAGCTAAGACAAAAATGTGTGAGCCAGTGGCTAAAAAACTGTGAGCTAGCTCACACTAACTCAGCTTAGAGGGAACATTGGACTCAACTCCACCCTCAACTGCTTGGGATACCTTGTCACAATCTTTGTCTCCCAAAAAAAACCCCCCCCCCCCGTAAAGGTTTTAAAAACTCGACCCCCCCCCGGTAAATGATCTGCAGAGAAAACACCTGCTTTCCACTTGAAGCAAACACAGAAGGAAAAAGCCGTTATCAAGACGGCGGGCGGGCATCTTAAAGAGAAACATCACAGCGGATTCTTCTTGTTTGTAGGAAAGTCATGTAACGCGGCTCATGCTTTTTAGTAAAGAATGTTAAAAAGAGAGAGAGATTAAATTTGCGGTGTTTTAGGAGTCGGCTGACCTGGGATGGTGGTGGTGAAGCTAGAGCTACTGTCCTCCACAGGTCCAAAGAAATCAAGGTTCAGGAGAGTGGAACCTCCATTAGCTTGGAATTCAGTGATCGTATTGGTAGGGCAGCCATACAGAAGGTAAGCCAAGGAAGGGATTTATGTGTAAAAAGGGGGTAAGACACACACTTGAACATGCCAGTTAAAATTAGTACTCATTAGGAAAATTATTGTACATTGTAAGTGAAGCAACGTTGTATTGTTGTCTTTTGTATATTTAAAATTGATAAATAAAATTTATTTTAAAAAAATAAAAAAATTAATACTCATTACACAGTTTTTAAAATAATAATAATTAAAAAAATAACACAATTAGCGCTTACAAGATTAGTTTGCAGGTTTCTAAAAGATGTTAACAAGTCCGCGGATGCCGTCGCGTACAAAACGCAGCAAGGAATTCGACACTGGTAACCTTAGAGCTAGCCCAGTTTTGCGATTTATTTATTTTCTTTTGAGGAAAGTGGACAGAACCAGAAAGAACCCCAAAGAGAGGTACCCAATTAAAGGGAAACGTTTTAAGATTCGGAACTATTCGTCTAATTTTAAAGCCGCACCCTTCTCTTGGCTAGTATAGAGCTTAAGGGAAACTGACCGAGGTCTATTGACCAGCTTTTAAATAGCGGGTTGTCAGTAGTTCGGCACAAAAACACGAATACCGTGGTAACAATGGTTCCAAAACATATCCAGCTTCCACAGCGGTAAAACTCGTTCCCCTTTAATTCGGAATTTAAAGAAACAGAAAAATCGGAAACAGATACATTTTTAAAGAAAGCATAAGAAGAAAGCATGATGAATTGACTGAAGTAATAAGACACCAGACAAAAGCAAGGGGGTTCATCCAGGCTTTCTTTCTTGGTAGGAGTCACAAAATGATTTGGGTCCTCAAACATGCAATATGGGCATGGTCAGGAAGTAGGGCAATTTTCCAATGCATTTTAACCCAACAGGCAGAGAAGTGGGGAAACGAACCCCCCCCCCCCAGCTCATTTTGTTTAGGGGATTTTTGACGGGGAAGCCCGTGCTGGCTTTCTTGGCACTTGCGCCAAAGAAATATCAGCTGTCTCGTGATTCACAAGAAGCAGTAGATTTTGCAACGTGAACAAAGTATTTCTTTAAAAAATCAAGCGCACTAGCATTTTGACATACGCGATCTCCATACGGCTGAAAACGAAATCTCTTTTAGAAGGTGTACTTTTGTTCAAAACTGCATTTGGCCAAAACCGTTGTGGCGTGATTTTTGTCGTCCAGCATTTCACAAGGAAGTTGAAATCTCCCAAGAGTTTGTTGGGGCAAGAGTTAAAGTTTTTTTGGGGGAAAAACCACTTAAACTTCTCCAGTCATGGAATGCCTAACACGTCTGTGTAGGCGACACAAAAGCCAGCATATGTCTTACCTTGCTCTTTAACACTATACACACTGCTTTAATTGGGCACCGCTAAACAGAAAGAAAGCCTGCATTTCCAAAGTTAAGATAGTTTTCAATAAATAAATAAATAAATCAGCAGAGAGATGTTTGTCTGAACTTTGTAGCTTTCTTAACTCTAGCTCTGGTGCTAGAGGCTCTACGGAGAGACGTACCATCTAAAGGGTTAGTAAGGCCACTGCTACTCCAGTCAAACTGGACAGGTGGTAGAGATTCCTAGAGTTGAAAAGTCAGAAATCAGATTTTTACAGTCAGGTACAAAAAAAAGGGGGTCACAGCATAACAAAAACATCTCACGTGAAGTTCTCAGTCATCTAACAGAAGGCAGCCCTCGAGGAGGGGAAAGCGTGGACTCTGCATGTTCTTGGTTTACCGCAAAGTCACCATGCGGTGTCTCAGGGACCCAATATGTTAAGTAAGGCTAGAGGCCTACTTTGGGGGGGGGGGGGCTGGGCCAGGACGGGTAAAAACGAGAAAAGTACCCATTGCCCAAGCTCCATGAGACCAGCTACGCTGTTGGACCACTGTTCCAGGACTCTTATTCTGGCAAAGTAGGGAGACGACACTAGTAGAAACAATTCAGGTCAATGTGGCAGAAAGAACCACTTTCCAACACACCGTTTATCATTTTTAAAGATTTGTGGACTTCTACCTACAGAGAACCAAGAAAATACAGAATCCCCCCCTCTCCTAATTACTCTCCCCACTCCAAACTATTCTTCAACTCCTGGGGTTACTAGACCTGTGGGGGGGGAGAAGGTGGGGGGAGGGGTCAAAGGGCTGCAGAGAGGAAGGGCAAAGGGGGTGATGTCTTCCCTCTTTGCTTTTTTGTGACGAGAAGGGGGGACTGCCTAAAAAGCAATCAAGGAAGGGTAGGCAGCTTCAGTCAGAAACGGAGAACACTCTTCAAATAACTAGTCAGTTTCTCCTAGTAGTAAGATCTGGATGCAACTCAAGAAGGGGAAACTGAAATTCCCCAAGGTAAGGCACGTACAACTCCACCGAAGACCGGGCTGCTAGGCTAGCTAGAGGGATGCACATAATTTTAACACAGTGCTTTCCTGCTTCAAAAACACAATGGGAAAGAGAAAAGCCTAAGGTTGGTTTACCTCTATAGGCAGTGCTTCTTTTTCTCTACATGCTGGTACTTGCATATAAGGTTGCTCCAATTTCTACCAGTCCCGCCGCCCCCGGGACTTGGGAGAGTTTGCCCAAAAGGTGCCAGTACTCAGTACCCAAGACCATCAAACTTGCTATGACCAGGGCTAGGGCGTTCTCAGTGGCGGCTCCTATCTGTTGGAATGAGCTCCCGGAGGAGATCCGGGCCCTGCGGGACCTTGTGCAGTTCCGCAGGGCCTGTAAGACGGAGCTCTTCCACCAGGCTTTTGAGTAAGAGCCGCCGCCACCACCATTCCATCAACGCCTTCCCACCACCGCACACCATCACCGTTGGTGCGGGTATCATCGGAGGGAGTGGGATGTCCCTAGGGGACGACAGGGTTGTGGTGACGTACATTGCTGTTGCTGTTCAGATATATAATGTCTTAGAACACCATCTTGGTTTGCGATTTGGAGTAAGTATTAGAGCACTGAAAATCTATTTTTAAGAATTTTAATTAATGATAGTATGTTTATTACTGTATTTATACTGTTTTTATTGTTGTAATCTGGCATTTATGCCTCTGTTAGCCGCCCTGAGCCTTCGGGGAGGGCGGGATACAAATCCAAATAAATAAATAAATAAATAAATAAATAAGTACCACCACCCAACCCCCGGTCAGCTATGCTGCCATGATTGTTTATGGACTGAGGGGGCACTCGCCTGACCTGTGTATGAGTGGGTGCCGCATTCCTTTCCCTCCCTGGCTACCCCTGTTATCTGTAACCTTGTAACACTGTATAGATGTAGTGTCTTCATATTAATCAACCGTGTGACTGGTTTCGTTTCCCAACTCAGCTGCACTGGGTCATCGGTTATTCTTTCCCGCCCACGGGAATCCGGCCGATTGGCCCTTGGGGGTGGGGGTGTCGTTTGAAATCTGTACATCCCAGTTAGCTTTCCCCTTTTGAGTCATTCCTAACAGTGCCTATGTTCCTGACCAATAGTACTGACAATAAAGTATATGCTTCTTGGAAGACTGTGCTCCATTTGTTTGACTGTGGTACCTGACACCCCCCACCCCCCGGGAATAAATCCCGACAAGAACTTGAGAGTTTCCTCTGGAATGAGCCCCTTTGGACCCCTAGAAAGGCCAAATTGGAAGGGAAAAAAGAACACACCAGACTTCACTACTGGGATTGCATGAGCTGGATCCAAGCCACAGCCAGGCGAGTAGAGCTGGCAGAGCAGGATGTCCCACCCCCACAACCTACTGAGCGGGGGGAATCTGCACAGGAAGAGCACTCCCCCCCCCCCCAAAAAAAAAAAAATTCTCCCAAAACCCTTTTGGGGTAGCAAAACAACGAAAATCGCTGTTAGGCTGGCAGAACTACACCCTCGGAGCTAAGCATATGGAATCAAATTAAATAAATCTTGCGTCGGTATGAAGTTTGCCTCTCTCACGCTTCTCCTTTTTTAGTGGCACTCACCCTGCCCTCCGCACCTCTGCTGTTTCTATTTTACTATATTTATAGCGTGCTACAGACTCTCCCTGACACAGTCACCGAGCGGGGCAGGGTGAGAGAGCGTCAACGGTTTGCTCCAAGTATAAAATGTGACGATCAGCTTGTTCAGTGTCAGAGGGTCTGGCGTTATTAAGTTCTAGGGCCTTGCCTGGCAAAAGGTGTTGTTCATAGGGGCATAAAAACACACCGGAGAGCAAGGTTGTAAGATGCTGCTGCATACTGGAAACCTTCCCATCTAATTCGCTCTCCACTCTGCCTAGCGTCCCATTATTTTCTCCCTTCGATCAATTCCGTGACCTACACGGCAGCGGTGGAAAAGAGCAAGAGTCCAGGAGCGCCTTAAAGATGGACAAGATTTGTGGCAGGGGAGGAGCTTTCCTGAGCCACTGCTCACTTCTTCAGATAGAAGAGAAGAAGAGAAGAGATTGGATTTATACCCCGCCCTTCACTACCCAACAGAATCTCAGAGCGGTTTACAAACTCCTTTCCCTTCCCCTCCCCGCAACAGACACCCTGTGAGGTAGGTGGGGCTGAGTGACAGAGACTGCACTTTTTCAAGGACAGCTCTTATCAGAACTACGGCTTGCCCAAGGTCATCCAGCCAGGTGCAAGTGGAGGAGTGGGGGATCAAACCCGGTTCTCCCGGATTAGAGTCCGTGCCCTTAACCACTACACCAAACTGGCTCTCCTGGACCAAACAGGTGCTCCCGGACTCTTGCTCTATTCTACTGCTACAGGCAAACGCGGCTACCCGTCTTGATCTAGCTACACAGCAGATCTAGGCGTCCCCAGAAAAAAAATAAATCTGGTGGTGACAGGAAGTGTGGGTCGCTGGCTCTGACTACAGTTATCTAGAATATCCGGGCCACAGGCTGTGATTTGCATGCAGAGGAAGCAGTTGCCCTGGGGAACAGTTTTGCCACACAAATGTAGCACCTTCTTATAGTTAGACGTAACATTAAGCCAGCACAGCATATGTACTACAGAAAGAAGAAATGCCAAACAGGCTTTCAAACTGCTGTTAGACCAGGGCTGTATACTCAAATGCTGAGGTTCTCCTATGCAAAGAAGTTGGTCAAAGCCACCTTTACGTATCCTATTAGTATTTGGATGTACTGGGAAGCATCCTACCCTTATTCTCTCGCTCCACCGAGCAATGCCGGAAGCCCCCCCTTCCACCTAAGGAGACTTCCTCCAACTTTAGTGGCTCTCCCATTGGAGGAAGACACCTTATGCTGGAGGAACGCTACTTGGAGAATGACTGGACTGGATCTACCCCAAGTTAAAGAGGCCTTCCTCTCTTTCCTGCTACCTTCACCCTTTCCCAGCTTTATTGTCATTTTCCGTGACTCTCGTCTTCTCGTGATGTGACCAGCCTCAGTTTAGTCGTTTTAGCTTCTGGGGGGAGTTCAGGCTTGTATTAGGCGGTCTGTTATTAAGGGCAGAGCTCGGGGCCAGAGTAGCTCGCTCACCGATTATCAGAAAGCAGAGAACGGTTAGGGCAAAAGCGCTCAGAGCAGCCTTGAGCAGATGTTCCTCTCCCTGTTGGCTGGTGGCTGGAGACTTCGTTCTGGGACACCCTTTCGGTCACCCGGGGCCGGATCCCAAGGGAGTGGCGCGGGGAAAGGTGGCATGCCAGAGAAACCAACACACCAAAAGGCCCCGAGTCTTTCCCAGGCAGATGTCTGCTGCACATAAAAGCCTTGCACTGGCAAGCCTTTTTGGTTTCGGCACCACAAAACACCCAACATGGATTTTACTTTCTTTTTACCTGGAACTGATCGGGCGCACATATATTCATCTCTGGCGACACAGGGGGGGTCTGTCCTATTGAAGCTATTTTCTCTGCAGCAGATATTGGTTTCAGTGGCTCCTTGGTCGGCTCTAACATGCCCTAGAAATTAAGACACCGCACAGCTCAGGATCTGATTCTTTTAGGAGTGACACATAGTCAAATGCTCAAGGAACAATATTCCCCAGTGGCCTTTCAGATAAACTTTAGGATACCACCTGGATGACTATTTAACATGAAAAGAAAAGCAGGTTTCTACACCTTCACCAGAAAAAAAATCTAAGTACTCTTTTCCAAAGCTGATTGTGACTAATAACGTTTGATTAACAATAATGCTTTTGCTTGTTACTGCATTTTTAATCTGAATTTATGCCGACAAGCGTGAAGAAACACAAATCCTTATTCAATTTTTCTCACCAAAGAGGAGCTAATCACAAACAAATCACAAGCCCATTAAGCCAAGACCCTTATTCTTTTGCTTATATTTTCATTTTAATGCGTTTTATTGTGACAGCTACTGATGAAACAATCATGACAAACAACGCTGGAATTAGTCTGAGAGGCAGGGTTTCTTTGATTTATAAACACTCAACAGAAGCTACCACCTTACACAAAAGGTGTCTGTGCAAACGAGACACATGTCCAAATTTAGAAAGCAGGAGAGAAACTTAGAACGAGAAGTACTTTAAAATACTGTATACAAATGTACTGCAATGAAGAAGCAGAATGAGAATTAGTTTTAAATGTAAATATTAAATATAAATGCATCCTAACTGAATGTGTTGTCGAAGGCTGAAGTTAAGAAGAAGAAGAAGAAGAAGAAGAAGAAGAAGAAGAAGAAGAAGAAGAAGAAGAAGAAGAAGAAGAAGAAGAAGAAGAAGAAGAAGAAGAGGAGGAGGAGGAAGCCTTCAGCTCACAGATTTTTGTCTTAGCTCAGGAAGGATGGCTCCAGAGCAATGTAATTTATGCGGTAGCCAAATCGTTCGCTCACAATTTTAATGCCAGTAGCTCACGAATTAGAATTTTGCTCACAAGACTCCACAGCTTAGAGGGAACATTGCCTGTGAGGTAGGTGGGGCTGAGAGAGCTCTGACAGAAACTGCTCTTTTTTCAAGAACAGCTGTGCCAGAATTATGGCTTGCTCAAGGTCATCCAGTCAGGTGCAAGTGGAGGAGTGGGGAATCAAACCCGGTTCTCCCAGTTTAGAGTCCGCGCACTTAACCACTACACCAAACTACACCAAAGTTACTCATCCTAACTCACGTTACTTTTACTATATTCCACGGACAGTGTTTTAAAATTATGTGCAATGAAGAGGGTGTTAGGGAGAAATAGTTACTATTTTATGATATATAATACAACCCCCCCGGCCTTTGTAAGAATTGCCCACTGGGAGGGCCATGGCTCCCCACTTCCCTTTCGAGTTCTGTATTTTTGTTATCTTACCTATTTGCCAAAAAGAATTGTGAGCAATGCTCCCGCTAAGCTGCGGAGTCTTGTGAGCAAAAATTCTACTTTATGAGCTATTGACATTAAAGGTGTGAGTGAGCAACTTGGCTACTGCATAAATTAATTTGCCCTGGAGCCATTCTCCCTGAGCTGAGACAAAAAAATGTGTGAACTGGAGGCTAAAAAACTGTGCACTACAGAGTCTACAATCTTTCCATGTATCTACTCCAGCATAGAAGCAATATCAGAGTCCAAATTGGAGTGCAAGTCATCAAATTTTCTGAGCCATAAAAAGCCAACGCGTAATCCGGATGCCTGATGCCGAGTTTCGAATAATTTTTATTCAAGCATGGCTGTAATGGGACCCAGTCTCAAAAGCTGGCATATACTAAGCCAGAATGGTCAGTCAAGGAGGAATAAGGGACTGTATTATAGACTCTGTTTCTATTATGCTTTATTATTGCACTTTGGCCAATAGATTTATATTATAATTGCTGTTATGCTTATTTGATTTATATTATACTTGCTGTTACGCTTAATTGATTATTATAAACTTGCTTATTTGCTTGTGTGTTCATTTTTTGCCAGTGGTGTTTTCTTTTTTGCTTCTTGCATTGTACACTGGCTCCCCCCCCCCTTTTTTTGTGGAGTCTTGTGAGCAAAAAATCTACTTTGTGAGCTACTGGCACTAACGTTGTGAGTGATTTGGCTACGGCATAAATTAGTTTGCTCTGGAGCCCTCCTTCCCGAGCTGAAACAAAAATGTGTGAGCTGGAGGCTAAAAACCTGTGAGCTAGCTCACACTAACTCATCTTAGAGGGAACACTGCTCAGCTGTGAATTTTGAACTCACTTTCATCTCTGATAGATTAACACACGTATGAATGACCCAATGTGAACAAAACAATCTGAAATTCCTTACTCACTCTTGTAGGGCAACACCCCCCCATTAAAGGGGGCTTTGACCTGGTTGGGTATAGTACATTTATCATCCTTACACCCATCTACATCCATCACAATGATTCTGATCGTTTCTCCTGCACTGAGGATTAGAAAACCTAATCTGAGTTTTTAAAAAATTTATTTAAGAGTGGCAATTCTTGGCCTGATGGGACCCCTGAGTTAGAAAGCGCTTTAAATTACGGAACATATTCCATCAAAATGCAAAGGAACGGCACTTGCTGCCTCTGTTACCCACTCCCATCGATTACCAATCCAATTGATTACTGTTTGTGAATTGAAATTAAAGGGCTCAAGCTGAGGCTTCAGGCAACTGAACAGAACTACTGCAGTGCATCTTCACTTACCAATCCTGCTGCGTACATGGGCACTATCATAGGTTGCTTCTTGTTGCCTGTGAAGAGCTGATAAGATATTTCATTATGATTATGCTGCAATACATTAACAGAGATGCTAAACATTTTCTTCTGTTTTGTGGAGGCAGTCCTCCTCTGACCTGGGTTTTCCCAACACCTGGAGGGACTTTCCTCTCTCTCTGCCACCAGCACCTGGCCTTTATAAAAACTGCCCACTGGGAAGGCCAGGACTCCCAGCTTCCCTTCCACGTTCCAAGGCCTTGCCTCTGTCTCCCCCCCCCCACTGTCCAGCCTCCTGCCTTGTGCACCACTGGAGGAGTGGCCACTTGCCAACTGGCTGCCCCTCCCCTTCCTCCCGGGGCACTCCTTTTAAAATAGCGTGTCCAAGACGGTGGAGGTCTAGGTGGTACAGAGAACCACTACCAGAGATGTGAAGGCCCCGAAAAAAACCAAAAAAATTCGGGGGGGAAACAAGTTTTTTCCCCTGAAGCCTTTTTTGTTTCCCCCCCGAAAAATTGAAAAAAGAAAAGAAGAAAAGAAATAAAGAATGATTATGGAACGATTTATTTTAACATGATGAATAAAATATTTTAAGACAAGGTGTTCAAATATTTTCCAAATCATTTCTAAAAAATATGTATGGTATCAGATTGATCTAATTTCTGTGCACTGAGGACAAGCTAGTCCTAGGTTACAAACTGAACTCTCCAATGCAAGAACAAGATGCATTTCTTCCTTTAGGAGGTACTATTGTCAGAAGAAAAGAAAAAGGTTTCCGTTTTGTTTTTGCATGTGGGTGGGTATTCTGTTTGTAATAATCGTTTGGATACACCCTATTTTTAATATGCTAGTTGTGATAATTTCATGCCACGTAAAAATGACCATAGTCATATTTTATGTTCCTAAAGTAACAGAATGACTTTCAATCTGGAAAAGAAAAAAGAAGTGCTAATGTAGCATTTTTTTCAATTTTTCCAAAACTTTCTGGTTTTTTTCCAGGAAAAAACGGGGTTTTTCCGAGCTTCAAAATTTCCGGAAATTTTACATCTTTACTACCAGTATCAAAAGTTACAGAGCATCTATTAAAACAGGGGTGGCCAAACTGTCAGACGTTTGAGAGCTGCAAGACATGAACAAACACTGCACACAAGCTTTTACTGAAAAATATGCAAATCTGCCCTTTATTAACATTAAATGAGACTGCCAGAAATAAAAAGCTAAAGGGGTAAAAACAGATATTAATAATGATATTTATTTATCCAATGATATTTAATTGTTTGCTAAGAGGTGGAAAGAAAGCAAATGGATGGGGGAGGGTGGAAGGAAGGGGGAAAGAGGGAAGGAGAGAGAGGGGGGGAAAGAAAGCAAATAAATGGGGAGGGAGGAACAAGAGGTGGAAAGAAAGCAACTTTAACCTTAAATGTGTTCTCCAACACCCCCCCACACGCCCTCACACCAGCTGGCTCGTCTTGAAGAAGAGATTTAAAGAGACAAATGCCTTCTCCAAGGGGGAGCTCTGAGAATGCATTTAAAGTTAAAGTTGCTTTCTTTCTCTGCTCCCCCACCCCACACCTCAAGCCTACCCAGGAAGGGGAACCCTGGCGTGGGGAAGGTAAGACCAATCGTGGAGGCATGCCTCCCCTTCACTACCCCAGCCACCATTCCAGGAGCCACACAATGGCCCCGATCACACGCAGAATTTGCCACGGGATACTCACAAATGCCGGCCGGATCTTACTGGCACGACCAAGCAGACACATCTGGCCAGCGCCCCGCACCCGTCAGCAACCCGTAGCAGCCAGCCAAAGAAGCGGAGTTTAAAAGTACCCGGGAAAATCCACTATCAACTGGTTGCGACGGGCTGCAGCCGGACGCTCTCCGTGTGAGCTTTCTTTCTCCAGCGCGCTCCTCTCGCCCTCCCTGCTTCCTGGTTGGAGCGCGCCGGAAACACCCGCTGATGGAAACAACGCTGTCACGTCTGATCGCGTTGGGGCGCGTCAAATTGTGACGGCGCAAATCGCCACACCTCCCCCCCTCCCCGCGTTTTCCAGCACGTGTGACCAATATGTGTTAAAGAGCCACATTTGGCTCCCGAGCCACAGTTTGGCCACCCCTGTAGTTAAAAGAAACTGTTCACAAGTATACTTTTAGCACAGCACCAGACTGAGTTAGGGATTGAAAAGAAAAGGGTAGAACACCATTCCTCCGTCCCTCCCTCTATACACACCCTAGCAGATGTTAAGTATAAAGGGCAGGCTCCTTATCTTAGAAAGTTACAGATGTTTTACAGGGGTTCCCATTCCCTTCGTGCCTCTTTCAGGTGTGCAGGCCAGCCCATAGCAACGGCTGCTTCCTACAGACCTCAGGTAAGAGTTCTGTCTGCCTCGATGGAATCGGGGCAAAAAACAGAAGCAAAAGAACAAACCCTCCCCCTTGCTCAAAGGAGTTTTATCATTTCTCTTTCTCCTCCCACTAACTAGGTCAGGTTGGGTCAAAGAAACTTTTCCTGAAGTCCTTCTAGTACTTAATTCCTTCAAATCTCTGTTCCCTTCTAAAGATCACCTGTCTAGCAGGGGGGGCAGACCGTCCCACTGCCCCTAGTGAGACCTATGAGGTCTTCTAAAAGGAGTGGCTGAGGGGAGGGACGGGAAAGCCATTGAACTGACTTCCCTCTTCCGGCCTGTTCTCTGTCCAGAGAGTCAAAAAAAAAACTTTTTAAAACTCACGGTGAAGGTTTTGTTCAGTTCAAATCCCCTCACAGGGTTGGATCTTCCAGGGGCCATTCTGCTAGTGGTGGACTTTCCCCGGAAGCAAAGAACCTTGCCCCATTGCAAGAGGCTCTCCCGGAGCCTCTGGCTTTAAGAGGAACAGATCCGGGGGATCCAATTCATGAAGTTTAACAATGGAACTTCTAGGAATAAAGCAACGGGCCATTGCGACGTGGTTCTGCCAGAAGCTCATGACAAACGAATATCCCCACGTCAATAAGTCCACTCGCGTCGAACACGGCTCAGGCAACCACCTAAGTGGAAGAAACGGCTTGCAGGTCACTCACTATGTTTCTCGTGTCGATTCCCAAGGAGCAGAGAAGCTTCTTGTTGCTGTGAGAACCGCCCCACTGGTATCGCAGTCCATACGCATCGTGGATGCCCTGAAGCTCCGCCCACACGTCCAGCAATTCCCTACACAGCCACACAGCCAATCAGAAGTTGTGTGAAACAGAGAGAGAAGAACGCAAGGACTCAGCAGCTTCAGCTGTTTTCTTCTGAGCCTTTAAATGACAGAGACGCTCGGAAACTCCAGTTAGACTCATGCCCAGGCACAAAATTTTTATGGGCATTGTTCTAGCTGGGGTGCACTAAGAGCCGTTAGTGTCCCCCTTTTAATTGGAAAACGATGTCTGTAAGCCGATGGCGCAGCCGCCGCGTGGAATTCAAAATATTAATAAGGAATCAGAAAGTGAGTGTAAGTAATAGAGCCACATCCTAACTAAACGACATCATTTGTACATCACTTTTAAGTACATAAGAGGCCACCACACAGATTAATCTGGGGTACCATACATAATCTGTAAAGGACAAACCACAGTGAAGAATAATATTGTGTTTTCAGTGTGCATACAACTAAAATGGAATTCATATTTGAGCACACTGGGGGGAAATTGGCATACAATCTCTAGATAGACAGACAGACAGACAGACCCATACAATCTCTAGATAGATGATAGAGAGATAGATAGACAGACAGACAGACAGACAGACACATACATACATATAAATCTCTCTTTATTTGTCACACAAAATGGGTTTGTACCTTTCTGACTGGGTCTCCTCCGGCCTTCCAGGCACACCACCAGCTTCTAGTAAGAGATTTAGAGGAGTGATTTCTTCTTCTATTTCGCAAATGGGTACGCCAGGAAAACAGGCCTCAAATATTCGTTCCAGGCGACTTAACAGCGTTGTCTGCATCGGGACGGTCAAAACCAAAAAATGTTGACAATCACACAATGTTTTGCAGCATTAAGGGAGAGGGGACACATAAAACAATGTGTTTTGGATATTAGTCTTAAACAACAATTCAATTAATGGTAAAAGAACACAGGGCTATTAAAAAATCCAACTATTTGGGCAAAAAGAACACAGTTGTAGCAACAGCTGAATACTCTAAGACTCCAACCTCTTTGAGCCTGCAGGCACATTAGGAGTTCTGACATGGCATTGGTGGGTGCAGAAACAGAATGGCTGCCTTCAATCAATAGAACACCTGGAAGAACGAGCTTGGGATACCTTAGGTTACTCCTGGGAGACGGAAATCCAACAACTACAGCCTCAGTTGCAAATTTTTGTGCAACGGCCTATAAAATCCATCAGTTGCTTTCGTTATCGGGGTTTATGTAAAGACCATCTGTTTACACTACCGCTTAATTACACTGAGAGGGGCCACGGTGGCTCAGAGGTTAAGACACTGAGCTGCAGACCAGAGGGTCGGTAGCTCGGCAGTTCGAGACCCGAGTGCCGCATGACGGAGTGAGCTCCCGTCTCCGGCCCCAGCTCCTGTCAACCTAGCCGTTCGAAATCACACTTCCCACTGAAGTGTGGGATCACATGACCACAGAAATGTCTTCGGACAGCACTGGCTCTTCAGCTTGGAAATGGAGATGAGCACCGCCCCCTAGAGTCAGATCTGACTAGCTCTTGAGCAAGGGAAACCTTTACCTTTACTTGACTTAATTACACTATTGTCTAGTTTAATTTGTGCTTTTTAAAACTAATATTAATTTCAGCCTTGCGGGATCTTATCTATGTTGGCCTTTGACCGTACAACAAAGGATCTGCTTTGATTTGACGTCTGCTGCTCCTGGCAGTTTTGGTTCCTCCTCCACCAACTCGGCCACAATCATGGGGACTCTGCCGACTTTGGAAAGCCCCAGCCTTCACGATGAGGATGCCGTGGTGCTTTCCGCGGCTAGCAGAGCCCCTCTGACTATGGCCAGGGAAGGGAGGGTGTGTGGGTAAGAGCTGTTGAGAGCAGTAACAACCCAGCTAAGAGGGAAATGATGTTTTTTGCAAGGTCGCCCCCCCATTCCCAAGAGCTCTTATGCATTCTCCCACCCCGCTATAATCGAAGGCGTTTTGGAAAGCTCCCCATCAGATTCCCTTTGGTAAGGACGGGGCGGGCACACACAGCATGAAAAGCCGTAACGGAACAGTCATGATGCATTAACGTGCCTTAAGTAATACAAGCTGAAGTAGTCAGGAGGTATGCAATACCTTGAATTCTGAACGTTTTCAGACATTAGAGCCAGTGTGACACAGTGGTTAGCATACGGGCCTAAGATCGCAGAGACCCGGGTTGGAACCCCAACTCTCACAGCCTAACCTACCTCACAGGGTTGTTGTGAGGGTAACACAGAAGGGGAAAGACTGTTGAAGCCACTCTGGGGCCCCACTGGAGAGAGAAGCAGTGTATTAAAAAAAAAAAAAAACCCTTGTGTGCACTGGAGACGTGCGGGAAGTTTTCCAAAACAGAAAGACTGCCCATTTCTAGACATTCGTTGTTTCATAAAACAGCGACGAATGGATTGCCACTGTCGATACAGGATTATGTAACACTGGCCGTTTCAAAGTGGTAATTCCTGGGGTGGATCCAGAAGTGTGTGAATGGAAATGTAAACACAGCGTGGCCCCACTTGAGCAAGACACTGTGCTAGATGGACTGCAGAAATGCAAGCTGGGATACTTTTAACACAGCACAAGGCACCAGCGTGGTCTTTTTGTACACTTCCACAAGGGCTTCTCGAAATCTTCTACTCGGTCCAACCCACTGTTTATCAGGTGATTATCCCTAGGAATTGTGGGAGAGTAGATACATATTTTAAGGGCCACGGTGGTTCAGAGGTTAAGACGCTGAGCTGCAGACCGGAAGGTATAGATAGGGACTCTGGGGCAAGTGATGCTCTGTCTTCTTGGTGCTTGGGGGGGGGGGTCAACAGGGGGAGGGGCTTCTAATGTCCTGGCCCCACTGGTGGACCTCCTGATGGCCCCTGGTATTTCTGGCCACTGTGTGATACAGAGTGTTGGACTGGATGGGCCTTTGGCCTGATCCAACACTGGCATCTCTTATGTTCTTATGTCGGTAGTTTGGCAGTTCGAGACCCGAGTGCTGCTTGACGGAGTGAGCTCCCATCTCTGGCCCCAGCTCCTGCCAACCTACCAGTTCAAAAGCAAGAAACTGCAAACATATAAATAATACCACTTCAGTGGGAAGGTAACAGCATTCCATATGCCTTGGCATCTAGTCATGCTGGCCACATGACCACGGAAACGTCTTTGGACAGCGCTGGCTCTTCGGCTTGGAAATGGGGATGAGCCCCGCCCCCTAGAGTCGGATTCAACTATCTTTTGAGCAAGGGAAACCTTGACTTTTACCTATATGCATATTTTACTGATCTATAAAGCTGGGGGTGGAGGAGAGAAAGAGGGCATAAAACCAAAATAAAATACACCCAGAGCAAAAAAACGAGCTGTGAATTCGCCCAATTGGCTATGCAGGTAAAGCTATAATTCTTAGGTCTCCTCTCACAAGATGGGAGGGTGATATTATGATCAACCATCTGATCATATGGAATTAAAAAGTAATGTAAAGTGACGCTGTGGAGAGCAACAGTGAAACTGAGGTGTTTCGGCTACCTCAGTGGAAGACAGTTACATTCTGTTCAGCTAGACAAATGGATAACAGCTTCCAAAGCATGGGACACAGAGCCAGTTTGGTATAGTGGTTAAGAGCACAGACTCTAATCGGGAAGAACCGGGTTTGATTCCCAACTCCTCCATATGCAGCTGCTTGTGTGACCTTGGGTCAGTCATAAGTTCTTTCAGAGCTGTTCTCTCAAGGGCGGTTCTCGAGAGAGCTCTCTCAGCCCTACCTACTTCACAGGGTGTCTGTCGTGGGGAGGGAAGGGAAAGGAGATTGTAAGCCACCCTGAGACTCCTTCGGGTAGTGAAGGGTGGGGTATAAATCCAATCTCTTCTTCTTATCTGGACATGCTAAAATCAGCACATGAACAATTTTCACTTCCTTCGGGGGAGTGTCTTAAATGTAGATATAAGAGAAGTACAATCTCTAAACTTTCACAATTTAAAATAATTTGCATAGGACATTTGAGTTTGTTTCTATGCCGCATTATCAACCACACGATGTTTTCCATACATGTATTTGTTGATAAAGGTAAAGGTAAAGGTTCCCTTGCTCGAAAGCCAGTCGAATCCGACTCTAGGGTTGCTGTGCTCATCTCCGTTTCGAAGCCAAAGAGCCAGCGCTGTCCGAAGACGTTTCCGTGGTCATGTGGCCGGCATGACCAAGGCGCACAGAACGCTGTTACCTTCCCACCAAAGTGGTACCTATTTATCTACTTGCAATTTCTTGCTTTCGAACTGCTAGGTTGGCAAGAGCTGGAACTAGAGATGGGAGCTCACTCCGTCATGCGGCACCCGGGTCTCGAACTGCTGAACTACTGACCTTCCACAGCCTGCAGTTCAGCGTCTTAACCACTTGAGCCACTGCAGCTCCATGTATTTGTTGATACTGGGAGATATAATCAACAGGGAGGTTTTTTTAAAAAAAATTAAAATACTAAATAAAATTTTAAAAAAGCATACTAGATTAGACAATGCACCATTTAGGGCAACCAATCCAATACAATGGGTCAAGTCCAGCACAACACTGCTGCTTGTGCAAGTGCAAACACAACAAAAAGACAATGGTAGCTGCTTGTGCTACATTAAGTCCCCCCCCCCACTTGCACACAATGTTTTGCCCACATACTGTAATATATAGGAAAAGAATAGGAATATGCACATAAAAAAAAATCTGTATTTTTCAGATCCGGATATCGGAGCTGAAAACTATTGGTAATTCCAGTTTCCACCTGTTCGGTAAAATTATGGGGGAAGGAAGTGTCCTGGAAGCCTTAAAATGCAGGTGCCTGATATTTCGGTTACACCCGAATATTTCTGGGATTTTTCGGGACCCATTTCCCCGTTTCCTTAAAAACCCTTGATATCATCTGGAGACCTGAATATATCTGGAAAATACCGATAAGGTATATTTTAGCCGGACAAGATATAGCTGAATGCACATCTCTAGAGAAAAGCACTAGGTGCTGGACAAGACCTTTTGCAAGCAGAACTGCTCTAATGCCTGTCTGTGCTTCCACTTCAGTCTCACTGAATCCGAACGGCTGGTCACATGCTGTCAATTCACAGGCCATCAGAAGTCAACTTCATGTTACCTTGAATGTGCCATAGAAGAGGTGCGCAAGTATGTGCTTTAACTGAACGGCCGCTCCGAGACATAACACTGCAGTCAGGGAGAGGCTGCTTAGTCCAGAGGTGTTCAACAGAAGGCCCAGGGGTCGGAAGCGGCCCGTCCAGGGCTCTTATGTGGCCCATGAGCAACTAATGCAAGGGAGAGAACAGGAGAATGTTCGGGGGTGGGGGGAGTGGGCAGACCAACTACGATTGTGGCTTCAGCAAGGCAGAACAACCTCGTCTGCAGCACTCAAGCAAAGTGGGAGCGTGTGTGCAGTGATGTACTGCTGGCTCTCCAGTCCACCCGTATGGGTTTTACTTTCCACCTCCCTCCCAGCTCATGAGGCCTTGCAGTAAGGATACACCAACTCAGAGTTTACCAGCTGCTGTCCTTTAAACAAGTTTATATTTGTTACCTAGCATTACGTTTTATGGCACACGTGGCCCGGCCTGACAAAGTGATATTTATTTAATTTGTATCCCGCCCTCCCCGCCAAGGCAGGCTTAGGGCGGCTTACGCAAAAGTATAAAACAATTAAAACAAGAATTAAATAAAATCAGAATGCAATTATAAATATTATAAAATATAAAGTGCTAGTTTGTATCAGATGGCGGGCATAGCAGCATCCTCAAGTGACAGCTGGCTGACATCG